CTCTCTCTCTCTCTCTCTCTCTCTCTCTCTCTCTCTCTCTCTCTCCTCCCCCTCCCTCCCTCCTTTTCCCTCCCACTCCCACGTTTCTCCTATTTCACTGCTCTCATCAACGCATTAACGATGATAGTTCAATTTTGATGCGACAGCCTCGACTTTTCGCACGAGGGACATTTAATATCTTTTCTTCTCGTGTTTAGGCCTTTTTTTCTTCCACGATCGCGCATTTCCGCGTGACGATGACTAGATTCTACACGAGCGTACGCCCTTTGCGTCAACGTGGGTATGTGTGTGCGTGTATCTCTGTGCGCGCGCGAGCGCCTGTGTGTGCGTATGATGTGTAATAATTTATTGTACATATATACATATATAATATATATTCTAATAAATTATATATGTATGTATATAGAGTATGTGCGTGTATTGTGTAATCATGTGTGCGTATGCGCGTGATTCTTGTCGATTGCGTGTTATTTTTCTCTTTGGTGATCGTCAGATTAGTTGGCTTCAACGCACGTTCGATCTTTGGTGTATTCTCGCTGGCAGTAGCTCAATATCCGCCATGGGGATGACGCAGAAGTAGCGAAGATCCCTGTCCATCGGTAACTCGTAAAAGTAACAGCGAAAGCGAACGAATCGAGGTATCCCTAGCAATAATTCTCTAAAAGAGATTCCCTTTCATCTCTCCCTTTCTCTTTCTCGACACTCTCCTCGTTTTTTTCCTGGATGAATACGTACGATTGCGCGACCTCGTCCTTCCCGAGGAGGAAAACTCGCAGACTACTGGTGATTATATAAAAGTGCGCGCGATAAAAAATGCATTATGATACGTTACCCTGAAGTTACAGCGGGCTGTGTGACGATGTTGATTCAATTCTCCCCCATCCGTGGAAGGTAAATGTCGCGGAAACGAGAGAGATATAAAGAGAAAGAGAAAAGGAGAAAGAGAGTAAAAGAGAGAAAGAAAAAAGGAAGAGAAAGGTACAGACGGAAAGGAAGAGAAAGAGGGGAGGGGAGAGAGAGAGAGAGAGAGAGAGAGCGAAGTAAACGGTAAATTCGATCTTAAGCAGATTGAATCTATCTTCATGAAGATACGCGACATTCTTGATGAGTCCTTGCTACACGCGAATTAACCTTAAGATCACAGGAGACACAATCGCGATAAAATACGTCCAGGATCAATTGCGTCCTGAGAGAGGGATAAGTATCCATTATTCCGCGAAAGCTCAATTCGCGAGCTCGCAGAACATGTCCATCCGTGGAAGTTCTGCGCGTTCACGGAATTTCGGTCGAATACATATGACTAGAAATATATGGCGATTATCATCTCGTCAACATCAAACGCGTCAGCTAATTATAGTTATGTATTACATTGTGAGCATCTCGTTTCGTCGAACCAGACTTGTTAAATTAAATAGTCAACCTCTTTCAGTCTGCTTGGCCTGTGGCAAATTGAATCATAAAGTGGAATCATATCGTTCACATTTTGCATGCGCGAATTTGAATTAAAAGAATAATCCAGAATGTTTATCTTCCTTCTAATTTTCCTTCGATACTTACTAAAACAAAATAGAAAGAGATATCTCAACTATTTGCAGTGGCTCGTGAAAGACATAAGGTACGTGATTCAAATCGAATTCGCTTTTAAGCCGAGAAGAGCGAAAGAGAAAGGGGAAGCTCGCGAGCCCGAGCTCGATCTTCTCTCGGAGCTTTGAGAACTCTACAACGAGGGTAGATTGCGAGGCTCGAAGATCGATGGACACGGGAGGATCGATGGTGTTCGCGTTGGTGCCCGCCATCCCCGTGCGATCGCGTGACCTTCCTTTCTCCGACTACGATCCACAGTCCCGCGTGCATACGCTCTGCACCGAACTTTTGTAAGCGATTTGTGATCTACGCGACCGACCGCGATCGCGATCTCGTCGTACGTTCAGTCCATCATCGTCTCATCATCATTATCATCATCATCATCATCATCATCATCATCATCATCGGTGTCGTAATGGCTCGCGTGCAATGGCGAGCACGATTACATGGCCCCGTTGCGCCTTCGCGTGGAAGAGCGAATCACTGAACAAGCTCCCGGCTTCCGCGCGAGCAATCTGAAGCAACCAGAAAGCTCGTCGTCCACCCGAGGGGATGGAGATTCCCTCCTGCGAGGGATTAGCTTCGTCAGTCATGTCCGCTCGGACGATTCCTCGCCTCGACGGAGGCTCTTCGACGAAGAGGGTGTTGCGAACCCTTGCCGAACGGTTCGGCCGATCGTGACTTTGATGAAGGTGCTTGATTTTAGAGATCTTCTTGGTCCGCGCTCTCGACGTCTCTGGACCATCACGATCATGATTACGTCGCCCCTCGTTTGCTCTTCGCCTTCCCACTATGCTCCTGCCCAGTGCTCGGACTGGGCGGGCTGCTGCTAGTCACTCTAGCCACCCTCCGATAAATCTCACTATTGACAAATCGCGGATACGAGTCCCGGTGCATGAGAGTGTAGATTTGCAGCTGCGCCTCGTCGAAGGTGTGCGGCGTAGGTTCCACCATATTGCGATTCACAATTTCCCGCACCCGCGAGTCCAGGCTCACCTGCAAACACAAACGACAAGGAAATGGGTTAGTCAAAATTCTTGTAATATATTTACGATTACATGTATGTAAAGATATCTTGCGAAACTGCAACTCATTGTATCGTTCATAAATCTTAATTTACAAGTCACCGTTAGCACGCAATTCACATTTTTTCCTCGTAAAACATTCAAATCTTTTTATTCTACGATAGTTCATTTTTAATATTTACACTGTATAAATCTACGATTCTACGTTTCTCTCTGTAAAATAATTGTATAAGGTATAATAAAATTAATAAAGTTACAAAATTGTATTCTTTTAGTCGGTCACATAATTTTTTAGAAACAGACAGACCTAACAGCCTTGAAGATAAAGATACATAAATAGGCCATTAATATGCAAGTCCCTTGACCAATTTTGTAACAATTTTTCTTTATCACGATACATTGAAAGCTTGATGAAAAAACTTTCCGAGAATTACACGCCGTAGTATGTGTGTACGCGGTACCTTTAGCACGATCTTTTTTATGTTATCTCGTAAAATTATCTAGGCGATTGCAATAATGCACGGAATTGTACGTGCACTGTACAATTTGCCGTAATGTTCGGATAGCAAAAGAAGGTTCGTGCATTCGCCCCGTTTGGGTGAATAAGTCGTTAATGCGGTCACTAGATTACTAGGTCAGTCGGTTAATATGGAAGAAATCAGTCACGCGCATACGCAGCTTTTCTCAAACGAAACGCTATATTGCAAAAGTACATATCCACGCTTCAAACTGCATTTGATTTTACCGCCTCGTTTTTCTAATTCTTGCGCGTTCGTACACTCGACTTTTCGCAACCGATAAAATGGCGTAATTAGATAATACATCCAATAACGTTATCGATTCTATCATCAAAGCTAACAGCTCTGGAAGCATAGGAATTATTTTACGTTATGAAATTTGTAAGTGCTTATGATGCATCGCACGGGCTATTCAAAGTAGCAGATACTGATCGCATGACGCTGCGTATGCTATTATATTAGCTATAAAATAGATGGTTAGAAGTTGCTTATATATTTCTAGGGATTGATACTATCTCTACTCTCTTCAATCGAACGTGTCACAATGGTACACGGAGAGAATTTTCTTTTAAAATTCACCCTGAAAATCGTGTAATCGTTGGACAACGTGACATTTTCAAGAACTTTGCGAGAGTTTTTTGAAATTTTACTATATATTTTACTAGTAAAATGTATACTAAGTATAATTACTAATAGTAAAAAATATGGTAAAATTTCAAGGAACTCTCATAAAATTTTTCAAAATACCATGTTGTCCCGGGATTACATGATTTTCAGGATAAATTTTAAGAGAAAATTCTTCCCGCGTAGAAACATTTTTTTCACTAGAAAACCCAAGTTCTTACATTAATATCGTTAGTACTTTCATGCGTTACGTAAAATAGTTATTATACTTTATATAGTTGACAATATTTATATGAATATACATGATTTTATTGTTCATATCATTTTAATAGATATTTCATCCGTATTTCATCCAAATGCAATACACTATTTTCTACTTTGCTACAAGAGAAACTTTATTAAAGCTAACAATTTCGAAAAAAAAAACAAATAAGTAGCAACAAATTGAATTGATAAATTAAAAAAGAGTTCGCAATCGCTACATAAATTAAAAGAACAGAAGAGTGAAAATATACAAAGAACATGAAAATTTGTTTCGAGATAAATAACAGCTTCAACTCTTGCGCTAGTAATTGCATATTAATGATAACAAAAATATCTTGTCCTCTATTTTTATAAGGTAACTATAATTACGATATTTTATATAACTGTAGATGTAAATAATAGATCATTTACTGACCGCCCCTGAGTGTTGTAATCGAGTTACGATTACGATTTCTTATCACGGGCAAGCATTTTGTATGAGAACACGGACAGTCTACTTACTTCCCTTGGCGAAAGTATGGATATGTAATCCTCGTAAATGTAACGCGCCTTCTCCTCGATCGTCTCAGGGTTGCTCTCCTTCTTGAGTTGCTCGCAGGCAAGCCAGAAGGCGATGTTCTCCTCGCTGTACTCGCTCACGAGGAACTCTGTGAAGAGCTTGCGACCGGCGGCGCTCTTCATCAGTTTGTCGAAGGACGAGCCCCAAGTCCGGACCTCATCCACGCTACAGCGCTCCAGGCCGCCGTCGAGGCCGTCGAGTCCGTCGAGACCGTTACCCGCACCTGCACCCGCGAAGTCGGTGACGCTGATGCCGCCGCCGTGATCACCGCCGACACCGGCATTGCCCTTTTTCTTGCCCTGGTCGCCCGCACCGCCGGTACCCGTCGAATTACCGCCGACATTCGCCAAACTGAGACGACAGCGCACATTAGAATCATCTTGCAGACCTTTCATTATCGATAACGGTGACGTGAGGATGCAAAATGATCGAGACTGTTAAATGAACAGGCTGATACCATGATGACGAAAAATTGTCAGTTTAAATCGTATTCGAAAAGCATGTATTTACGTATACTATGTAACTGGATTTTACTTGTTATTACATAGACAAAGGAAATAATAAAAATAATTCCTTATACGTTTCTTGTTGCGAAATCGCTTTAATCTGTTTTACGTTGCAATTGACAGTAGATCCACCGATCAAATTGAAATTTATCACAAATTATCGTGTCGATATTGAAATCGAGGTTGAAGATCATAAACCATCGTGTTAATTATAACGCGCGGTACTAGCTACGCTTATACTTGGCGCGAGACACTACCGTGTCTCTTGATTACGATTGTATAGTGACGTACATGATGATTTTCGTTGGCGAGCATGAGAATGACATCAGGAGAAACGCGAGCACGAAAGTAGTGACAGGCAGCCGGGAGGAGGAGGGAAAGCGAGCAGAGAGAGAGCGAGGGAAAATGTGTGGAATATGAATATCAAAGTTGGTAGCCTCGGGAAATGAAGAGATATAGAATGAGAATGGCTATGGGAGGAGTATAATCCGGCGGACGCGCACACAAATGCAATCGGAAATGATAATGGGCGACTAACGATCGTCAAGATAACTAATGTAATCGAGACCGCGCATAATGCGAGATACAAAGAGATGTGAACGGGCGGCATCGAACCGAGAGAAAATATTAGTCGTGTCGATAACAGGCACGGGAACCGGGTCATTGGAAGACCGATTCTTTGCGCTTGATAACGCGACTGCACTATGGCGTTTGCAAACCGCAACTTTGGAAATAAATGACAATTCTGAACGGTTACGCGACTCGGTCAGTTGGCCAATAACGAAAATGACTATTCCTGTACCGGCTGCCATCTGAATCAATCAGATATGCATTGGTTTCTAAAAGTTTTTCCACTCGACTGAATAGGAGAATATTTGGTAATTTATGATATTTCTTACGTGCTACAAGCTTTTGCTGTTAAAATTAGAGTTTACCTTCTCGTCCGATTAATTTTACAAAAAATTGTAAAATTATCGCTCGTGTTTGCAGGTTTATTTAGTTGTTTATTTTATTTATTTTTACTTCAACAACAGTGATTTCTCTTAAAAATATTTTTCAGTTGTAACAACCAATAAAATAGACAACTATTGTAAAATTTCAGATACGTTTTTGCTTTTGCATGAAGCTTTAATGTTATCGAAGGTGCGTTTGCCCTCCAGAATTAAGGAAAAATATAACGTTGCGCAAGCAAAAAAAATTTATAGTGCAAAATCGAAGAAATTGTCATATTTCATAGTACGTATTTTTTGAAAGGTTCCTATATATTAATATATCAGAACGGCCAAGAGTACACGGTCGTTTATTTCCGTGGTGGTAATTCAGGAAATGCCGTTGCACCTCAGATAAACTCTTTCGCGTCGATGCCAGCCCAGAATGAGTAGGCTACTCGTATAATCTGTAAAGATGACTCGCGTAGGAAGGACGCGTGGTATGTGCATAACCCCGTTTCTGTGATCCGTAATACGTGCATTACGATAGCATCATCATCGACATAACAAACAAGCAGCATTAACGCACACAGTCCGTGGCCTGCTTACCATTTATTCCTACTTGTGGCATGAAACACAGAAAGGCAATATGTAGGTACGTCTGCACGGCAATAAATGGATCACACGCGAGAGTTTAAAGACAATGGACCGATATCGTTTTCAATGGCGAGAGGTTCAGTAGATGAAGTAAGCACGAAAATAGCCGCGCGATAACGATAATAGCGCGTTACTTGTTTTCATCTACCTTACGTTAGAGATCGCAATTTTGTGTGCTAACTTTTCGGTAACTCGCCATCACGAGTGCGTAATCACGGAACGAGAGATCGAATAGATTGACTTCGCGCAATTCGGAGATCTGTCCCTTGTGTTTATTAACATATTTGTCCATTATTGTATGAGCCGAGTCATTCTTTCTAATTTAATAAAACGTCTCGTACATCGGTGCGCTGTCCAATTCAAGCGTTAAATCACTGTAAAACGCTAATGTTAACACATAAATACATTATTTGACAAAACATTTTGATAGAGAAATGTGTTTGGAATGTAATAAGAGACGGCAAGAAATTTTAATTCAAGTTTGATTAAAAAAAAAAATATCCGAGATTTTCTGCTTTATACATAAACAATTAGTAAAAATGTTAGATTAACATTATAAAAAAAATGATGAAACGAGATGTCATTGCTTGTGACTTTTGCGTGAGCAATTTCCTTTGGATCAATCGCATCGATGTATGTACGAGATGTGATCGGACAGGATCGATAATACCACGAGCAACTGCAGCAACAGCACCAGCATAGGCAACAGTTGTCCTTCTTCGATCGGCCCGTGAATCCGCCCGCTTGGCGTTGCTGTTGCTGCGACTGCTGCTGCGACGCGGGTGCCTGTTGCTGCTGCTGCTGCTGCTGCGACTGCGACTGCTGCTGCTGCTGCTGCTGAGACGATTGTTGCGGATTAGTATGCTGCATCGTGGACCCCGAGGCCTGGCCTTGGTTCTGTGCACGGAGGCGGCAACCACCAGCTACACCTTCGCCGCCTGTCCCGTGACTAACGCCAATCCCCATTGCGGTTGCACCAAGTCCACTCGACATCTGGAAGCGACATCCGCCCTCTGAATCCGCACACCACGTGCGAACGAGCTTATCCTGATGCTAAGAATAGTTCTACTAAATCAGTGGTTTCCGGAAATGGACGGTAACAATGGACCACTTGTCGGCTTCGTGATTTGTTTACGCAAGGTGGCTGACATTGAATTTTTTTAGAAACATACTCTCGAATATATTATAGACCAATAACACGAAGCTCTTTAATACTAGTACTGTGTATATTTAGTACACATAGTAGTACAAAAAAATTAAATTTTATAATTGTAATAATTTTTTAACTTGCGCTTTAACTACGCAATTACGCAGGTGCAATAGGCATGTTTTTAATATAAACGTTTAATTTATTATTATAAGAAGTAACAGATATTTTTATTCCGAGACAAAGGTGATTATAAAAATCACGAAATCAATTTCGAACAATTTTTGGAGGAATACACAATTGTTATACGTCGAAAGTAGTTTTCAATTAAGCATTTAACACGAGAACTGATCATCAAGTTCCCATTTAAATGGCTCGTAAAATAATAAATCCTAAGAAGAGAATAGGACAATCATCTATTCGTGTGGCAACATGATAAAGTTAAGCTTTAATCAAAATAAGCTGGTTGTACGATAATTGACACATAAGCCTTCAAAAAGCAACCAATTAGTTCGGATACGATTGTCGTACGCTCAGCTGCACGTATCGATTGGCTTGTATTTTCAGCGCGGCCCGGCGATGGCGATATCGAAGTGAGAGATGTAGCCGCAGATTTATTATTCTTCCGTTCGCGCTGTTCCGTTCGAGGTCTCCGGTATTTAAAATTCATGATCGCCAGACGGCTGAGCTGACCGATATTGGATTCCCGGAGAAAGTCTAAGGAGAGGATTAAACCCTTAATGCCATATTTAAGAACGCGATCTCATTTCGAAATCAGTACATTTCCGATCGTTCCTTAGTGAGTTTCAACATTTCCCAATTACAGTCCTGCTCGTAACGTTTCACGTTTTATTGTTAGAGCAAGTCGATAATCTTGTTTTCGCTTTTGTATTTTTTACTCTTTTGAAATTACGCAAAAGTGACATAGCGACAATAAACATTAACGGGAGACCCACCGATATTATTTATTATTGTCAGGATTTTAGAATTTGAAACATTGTTAAGGATCAATCTTGATGTAGTTCGTAACCTTCTCTGCATCTTTTTCTATTTCGTTAAACGAAAGAGAGGTATCTGAATAAACGAAGGAAATTCTGAGCAAATAAATTTATTTCAGCATCCAAGCCTCGCGAAAATATTCAAGGCTCACCCATTTTCTTTCGTAACACAAAAGAGATTCGCGAAACGAAGTTTGGGTACACGTCTGCACATGCACGTAGCCGCGTGCGGCCCTTTATTTTTACCGTGTTGTATATCGATGACCCGTTCTCCGTGCGGCCTCGCACGATAACGACTACATCGGACAGTCGCTTATAGGGGATGTGGGTAGAGGTTGATAAACAGCGGGCACTGGCGTAAAGTATACACGTGTATCCGCGAGTAAACGTAGTGGTGCATACGAATGAGCCGCGTGAAGATGAGAGGAAGAGGAAAAAAAAGAGATGACGAGAAGAAAGAGAATAACAGATAGATATACGAAGCAATTGGGAAAGGAAATCGAAATTGGACAATCGGGATCGTGGAGATTGGGAGAAGGACTGTCGTTTAATCGCTTATAGCGCGATATAAATCGGACACGGATTTACGCGAGCGCAGTGATTTAGAGCGCGGTCAGGAAATAGAAGCCGGAAATCGAAGAGGCCACGCGCAAAAACCGGGTTTCGAGTGGCTGGCTCGTAAAAACCCACCACGCGGTTTATACACGAATTTCAATCCGTATCTCGGGGCTCGTCTTTTCGGAAACGGGACTTCGTTACGAGACACTATAACGATGCAAATTTCAATAATCTCCCAGGGCGATTTGTTTTGGCAGACATTGTGAAAACAAGAACCGTTGTTTGCGGAGAACGCTGCGAAATTTAGGAAACATTTCGTGCTAGGCGATTAATTATGAGCTACGAATTTTGCAGTTAAGTTAGTTTCAAGATAGCTTGAATATAGTAATAAAGGCTTACATCACTGAGCCACATATTTACAAACACGGTGCAAGAATGTGCTTTTAACAAGACATAATTAAATAAAAATAATTACGTAAAAATGGAGTATTGTTAGTACATCCATATTAGTTTTATAAAAATGCTTTTAGATCAATGAAATTTAATAATTAATTAATTATAGCAGAAGTGAAAATAAGAAGTGAATTATTTGCGTAAACCATTATCGCGGTTCATTTTCGGAAAATGTTAACACTTGTACAGAAATGTGTCTTTTGATGTAGAAGGCGATTTATATTTTTTTATACAATTTTGAATGCTGATTTCTTTCTCATCGGACCCCCAAATGCAAATAGTGTCACTGCGTTTAAAAGGATTCTGAGACGATAGTGTTTACGCATAGCTGCGTGACAACATGTCAATGGCCCAATGGTGTGTTGGCTTCATGCAGCACGCAATCGCAAAGCACGTGCAAGCTGCAACCCCCGTTTCCCTCCTCGCAAGCTTCACCCGATAATCCCGCAAATTTATTTCGATCGGAGCAAGCGTATGCGCATATCCATATAAATGAATTTGTTATGTCCCTACGTGAACATTGAACGAATGGCAAGCTGTAGGTATTTCGAGCGAGATTCTAACCAGCGATAATACAGTCCTTGTTCATGTTATTACACTATGCTATTTCAGAATTAATTTGCAATAATCCAATTCTATACTGGGATAATTTAAGCACGGTTGAATGCAATCGGTTTTCAATATCCAATCCAGCCACATTGTTTATTTGCATGTTACTAAATTAGAAAAGGCTTCGTAAACTCCGAAAATTAGATTATTAATTAGATTAGGAATTTTTCTACTGTGTTATAGCTTTCTAAACTTGCCGTGTTCGCCACACATTTGTACGAGGAATATCATTGGGTTCCGTCACGTCGTAAATCGAATTGGCTGGCGCAGTTAAATACCCTTGGAGGAAGATCAGCGCGACTCCATTATTATTCCGTGCTGAGTATTTAATCTCTTCTTAAGACAGACGTGAACGAACGCAACGTACGTTTACGTCCTGGGGGCTCTTACCTCTATCATGTTCCATGCGTTCGAAAGCGAGCCCAGCTCGCTTTCCGCGTCTTCAGGATCAACCTAATCGGCGCGTGGCCGGCGCGACGCCGAGATGCGAGGGTGCGGGTGCGGGCACGGCCGCGAACGCACCGTGCCCGCGTTCGCGAGTGTCCCTTCCGATGTGCGGTCGTTCCTTTAGCCCGGTCCTCCCGCGGAGCCGCCTCGCCGGGCCTCGCCCGAAGCCCGCATGCTCCCAGCGCGCACCAGTGCCCCTCAGCCGAAACCGCGTAACAGCCCAGCGCACGAACCCTTCACGGACTCGCGGACGGACACATAGGTACGCGCACCACCAAGCAACCAACCGCCAGGCAGGTTCCTCGCCTCGCGATCGGGCGAGGCGCTACTACGCCGACGATGATGGCGACGTCGCGCGACGACACTGAACAACGGCAGACCCCAACAAGCGGAGGGTTACGTTGTCGACGTCGCGCATGATATTTCATCCATTATCCGCCTTCTTCCGCTTCCTACAACCGCCGCCGATTGTCCGTCGTTTTTTCCCTTGATGATCCTCTTCGTTAATACCACCCGTACCACGATACCATTCCACCACTGTCACCCTCTCGCGGCGCCCTCCACCCTTCTCTGTTAACGGGACAGCCGCGCGCGCGGATCGACTGGTCGGTCGAGTTGGAGAGGTAGGAGAGAAAAGGAGAGATAGATAGACAGAGAGAGAGAGAGAGAGAGAGAGAGAGAGAGAGAGAGAGAGAGTGAGAGTGCGCGGATGCGAGACCCGCCAGAAAGGAACAGGAAGTGGAGATCCTTTGCTACTGATGGCGTTTACTCTCAAGGATGAGCGTGACACGATTGAACGAATTCGTCGGGCTCCCCATAGAGATACGCGGTCTCATATCTCGGACCTCGAAAATTCTCTCATTCGGTCAACCAACTGGGACCGAATCCTTGAACTTTAGGACGGCGACGACGAGAGCGATGCTGATGACAGTGAAGACGTCGCACGCGATTGACTCATCACATTCTTCAATTACGCGGTTTAAAGGCGCGGCTGCGTCGCGCCGTGCCACGCTCACGGGCCAGCGCCAACCTCACGTCGACATCTCTTTTCTTCGTGGTTGACCTAGGTGGCCGTACGCGATGCCGCAGTTTTCGTTCCCCCCCCGTTGCGTTTGACGGAATTATAAATAGGTACTCGCGCCTGTTGGAAGATGTTGCGCGAGGCGCTGGCGCGGCCAAGCTTAAATGTCTCCGCTGCTGCCGCTGGCACAGACCGCTGCTGATGCTACCGTTGTGCCTGTCTACGTTCTTGATGCTGTTGATCGCGCTGACAGGCGTCCGTCCCGCGTATCTCGCGCGAGCGCGGAAGAAGGTGCAAGGAGGAGAGAAATAGACAGGTGAAAGAGAGAGAGAGAGAGAGAGAGAGAGAGAGAGAGAGAGAGAGAGAGAGAGAGAAAAAGAGAAGGATAGGAAAGATAGAAAAGAAGGAAAGATAACGGAGAATGTTAGAGAATGCGTGAACAGAGAATGCGTGTTTGGTTGGACAGAGAAGAGGAGCGTTGAAAGTAAGAGTGTTAGGTGTTGGGAAGACAAATGAGGTAAAGAGAGAGGAGGCAGAGAGAGAGAGAGAGAGAGAGAGAGAGAGAGAGAGAGAGAGAGAGAGAGAGGGGGGGGGGAGAGCGGAGCGTAAGTGAGTCGATGCGCCGGTTATTGATTGGCAGCAGTCGAGACCAGAGGGAGAGCCGAACCCGCGCGCTATCACGCCGGCAAGGTAGACTGCTGAAGACTATCCTCGAGCTAGCTTCTCGTCGATTGACTGCTTGGTATCCCGTCGGAAGACTTCCGATCGAGCGTTGATCTTTGCCTCCG